GGGCTGGTGCTGGGGGCTCCCTGAGGCCTACCAGGGCCTCGGCCCTTTTCTATTCTTGCAGGCCCCTGGTACTTTCAAAAACGAAGAAATACCTCATCAGGATGGTCAAAACTGGGGCATATTTGAAACACTTCACACACATGCAGACGATCCCAAACAAGCTCATTTTCCTGTTCACAGCTAATAGTGGGAGGGGTGTGGTATGAAGAACACTTTCCAAGCCCCATCCTGTGTCTCTGACAGTCTGATTGTCCTTCTTTAGAGATGACACCAAAAATCTAGATCTGAGGCCCTAGGGGCATACGAGGCCCTGCTGTCCCCCGAGGAAAACCCTGGGCAATGGCCGCTCATCTACTAGACGTGACTCCTAGGGCCCCCCAGCGCACATTTCCTGGGTCCCCATAGCCTACGTTTTAAAGCAGACCTTCCAAACTCACTTTCCAAATTGGGTGAAAACCAATTCGGTGGGGCCCCACTGGTGACCTTCTGTGACTTTGGCCTGCCCCAGAGCTTCTCAGAATGCCATCTGACAAGGCAAAGGGGAGATATGGAGGCAGGGAGTGGGGAGGGGAGTGAGAGAGAAAGGGGAAGGTGACTTTGGAAGATCTGCCAGGTTCTGGGAGGCTGTGGCCTGACTTTCCCCTCCCAGCCCCACTGTCCTGGGGAGAAGGAATCTGGCCCGACAGGATTCCTGTGCCTCTCCCCTCTCTGTGACTGGCTGGAGTGGGCTCAGGGAACAGCAGGGGGGAGTCAGGAGAGATAAGGGGGAAGTGAACAGCGCCTGCTCAGGGAGGGGGCCTGGGCCCCACACCTCCCTCCGCAGCAGGACCTCTAGGGAGCATCCCAGCTTGACCACCATCAACTGCCGGGCCTCCCTACTCTACAAATTCGTTTCACCCACCATCCACCGCTTGGAACTTTGTGGGAGTCTCCCCTCCTAAACATTCTGCTGGGCGCAGCTAACAGCGTTCCCAGTTTCCTTCCAAAGGCTCGATGAAGCTGCTTTTGCAATTAGAGCTTATAATATTCACGGTGGACTGAACAACAAAGAGCCGCGGGAAGCTGGGAGCCGCTAGCCAAGCCGGATCAGCAGGGGCTCCGGGAAGCCAGGCCTCCCCAGAGGCCGGGACCTGCACGGCCCACCCCCGAGGGCCGAGAGTCCCCCCTCTGCTGCCCTGGCCGCCTGCATCCATCACCCCTGAGCCTCTCTTCGGCCTTCAGGCCCTGCACATCAGAGGTGTGCAGTGAAGGCTTAAGCGAACGAATAAATGGACTGAGGTCACGGCTCCTGAGGCCTGAGTTCTAATCCCAGTCCCACCACTTATTCAATATTTGGTGCTGGACAGGTGATTATTTTCTCGTGCCTCTGTTCCTTCAGATGGCTGCTAGAAGGATTCATTAAAAACCAGAATTCAACTGAGTAAAGGTGCAGCTCTGATTGGCTTTATTAAGGGATTTGAGGACAAGCGTGAAGAAACGAAATGGAGTCGCTACAGTCAAGCTACAAAAATCAGAGTGGGCTGAAGCGTGAGGGAAATGCTTTTATTTAACCAGCCCGGGGACTTGAACTTTTCGTTGTGGGGTAATGCTTGCAGATCTATAAACCTGTGAGCGAAAGGGGGCAACACAGTCGACCTGACAGACACAGGGGGCTACTTGGCAGGCCCGACAAGCTCAGTGACCGAAAGTCACACAGGATGGCCTGATCACAGATTCCTCACTGGGCCGGTCGTGGCAGGTAGTCGCACCCGGGCCTATAGCTTCCTTAGCAAAACTCGAGCTTCACCTGAAGTGAGCCTGTCCACTGTTCTCGTGCATCTGGGATAACACACCTTTGAAATGTCAGAGTAATTTTCTTTTCCAGGCCCCTCAGGGCACAGCCACCTGCACCAGAGCACAGGCCACGGAATCCTCACTGTCACCTTGTTGCCCACAGACCATCGCTAAGCACTGTAAGTGTTCAGTGTTAACCACCCTGCACCCACCAGTGGAAAAGTGACTCCCCCTTTTACCTGTTATCCAGGCCTAGAGGTTTCCCCGCTTTGCTTTCTCCCACCCCCTCAGCCTACCACTCACGTTTTCTTTGATCTAAAGTATAAAAGGAGCTGCAAAGCTGCCATCTCTGGAGCATTTTCTCAGTCGGGTGAGATCTTGCTTCGGGCATGTCCTCAAAAATTTGTGCTCAAATAAATTCTTTCTTTTTTTTTTTTTCTTTCCTGCACAGGCTCCTGTAATAGGGGAACTTATATTATTATTATTATTTTAAATATATCTTTATTGATTTCAGAGAGAGGAAGGGAGAGGGAGAGAGAGAGAGATAGAAACATCAGTGATGACAGAGTCATTGATTAGCTGCAGCCCGCAACCCAGGCATGTGCCCTGACCAGGAATCGAACCCCGATCTCCTGGATCCTAGGTCGACGCTCAACCGCTGAGCTACGCCCAGCCGGGCAATATATTGTTATTTTTTTTAGGAGAACTCCTACAGCCATTGATTGTACAGAAGCGTTTCTCAGTCCCCTTTTCTTCCCACTTAAGAAACTGGACTACACGTGGACAGGGCTGATGAAGCCCGGGGCGCAGGTACCCACGCGGCTGCTGGACCCCTCAGGGAGCACAGGGCCAGATGGGGGGGGGGGCACGTGCCCGCAGGCCTGCCCCGGGGAAGGCAGGCCCGGGCTCTCCTGGCTGCAGGGCCCCCCAGGGGCGCCGTCGGGCTCCTGAGCTTGCTGGGACGTTGGCCCCGTGTCCTTGTCTTTTCCATTCCGGGTCTTCCTGTCGCTGAGCTGCCCCTTCTTTTCTTTCTCCAGTTACAGTTTCCATTCAGTGTTCTCCTGCATTCGCGTCAGCTGCGCTGCTCTGACCCGCGATGCCGTCCTGGCTGCTTCCCGGCCTGGTAAAGCTCCGGGTTCCCACGCCGATGGATCCCGTCCCCGCAGTGGCCAGACGTGGGTAACCGGCGCCGGGCCCTGGGTGGGGCGCATTCCCAGCGGGAGTGAAGCGTGTCCCCGGAGGCCTGTCGCGCCGAGGGGGGCGAGGAGTCGATGCCCTTTCTGAAGAGCCTCCCTCCAGATCTTTCTCTCCCGGGCAATGCCCTCGATTGCTTCTGAGCTGATACCACCCCCTGCGCAGGGGAGGGAGGTAATGGTCACCGGCACGCTCCTCGCCCGCCTGACCTTCCCGCAGGGGTTCCAGGGCAGACACCCCGCGCCCCACCTCCGGCTGTATGTCGCCAGGCCGGCCTGTCTTTGAGGGGCATGGCCATGGGGCTGGGGGGGCCACGGGGAGCTCAGTGTTACTCTCAGCTGAGCTGTCCTTGGTTTGGGCAACTCAGACTCCGCCACGTGATAGTGCTGGCACCGGGCTAAGTGGCTTAAAGAGTGTTCCTGAGCCCTCCGCAGGTGATCGAGACACTCGCCGGGGTTGGCGGGATTCCTGGCGGGCGCTCCCCGAGATGCTGGCGCCGGCAGGCACTTAGCTCCGTGGGAGTGACCTCTTACAAATCTTCCCTCAGCCCAACAAGCCAAGCTGTGGCGACATCCCAGTGGCCTCCTTAGCGGGGCCAGGCCCTGCAGCGCCTTCTTTGTTTGAAGAGGCCGCAACCCTCTCCGCTCAGCTCTCCACCGACTCCCTTACCCAAAGAAAGACATCCAATCCGACCCAACACAAAGGTCCTTTTTTATTTGTTTTCTTCATCAAAAAAGTTGACCAGAAAAGTTGGGAAATACTAAAAGGAAAAAAGAAAATCCTGTCTGGCAGAGGTCGTGTGGCTTGGTGAGTTGGGTGTCATCCCGGGCACTAAACGGTTGCTGGTTCAGTTCCTGGTCGGGGCACATGCCTGGTTTGCGGGCTTGATCCCCGGTCTGGGGGTGGGGGACAGCCGACTGATGTTTCCCTCTTGCATCGATGTTCCTCTCTCCCCCTTCTCCCTTCCTCTCTCTCTAAAAATCAATAAAAATATTACAAAAAAACAACAACAACTGTTGGTTCTGTGGGTCTATGGTTTTTAGTTCCATTTTCTTATTTATTTTTGATTGATTTTGAGAGAGAGAGGAAGGGAGAGAGAGAAACATCTGTTTGTTGTTCCACTTATTTATGCATCCATTGGTTGATTCTTATAAAAAATATATATCTTTATTGATTTCAGAGAGAGGAGGGGAGAGGGAGAAAGAGAGAGAAACATCAATGATGAGAGTTGCCATTGATCGGCTGCCTCCTGCATGCCCCCTGCTGCGGATCGAGCCCACAACCCGGGGCATGTGCCCTGACTGGGAATCGAACCACGATCTCCTGGATCCTAGACTGAGCCACACCGGCCGGGCTCCATTGGTTGATTCTTGTATGTGCTGTGACCCCGGGATCGAACATGCAACCTTGGTTTATCATGACAGCACTCTAACCAGCTGAGGCACCCGGCCAGGGCTTTGTGTCATTTACTTTGTTTCCTCGTTTGGAACACGCGGAGGTGAGGCCTGCCTCACGGGGCTACTGGGAGACATCAAGGTAACACGGAACATTTAAGCCCAGTGCCTACACTTAGGTGACAGCTGACAATTAGTTATTATTATTATTCCCATTAGCAGATGAGAAAGTGAGGCTCAAAGAGGTGACTTCATTTGCTCCAAATCACACAGCCAGGAGGTGGCTGGGTGTGGATTCAAACCCAGGAGCATGAGACCTCGGACTCCTATGTATCTCAGGCTGTGCCTCAGGCCTTGCCACACTCAGCAAGCCCCGTGTGAGTCAGGGTCCCGTGGAAGGTGCGGCTGGATGAAGGCAGGGGTGGCCGCCAGCCCGTCTCCACTCTTTCCTGGGGCTTCCTGCCAAATGGAACAGCGATCGGCCACAGCCTAGGCCTGTAGCCCTGTGGTCTGAGCAGGGCCTTGCCAGCCCTGGCACTTCAGAAGTCAGAGCCAGCTGTTGACAGAAGCTTGGAGCAGGGCAATGCCTAGATTTGGGTCACACAGCAAATCAGTGAGCAGACTGGCTTCTGGTCTGACCTCTGACCGCTGGTCTCCCAGCCCCCAGCAGTAGTAGGTGTCAAAGGCCCAGAGGATGGACGATGGATCTGGGCTGCGGGCTGAGGCACCTGGGGTTGTAAAGGCTGGTCCAACCCAGCCTCCTCCCTTGGTGGCCTCGCCGTGGGATGGCAAGAAGGTGGACAACAGTTCCAGGCTCATGCCCACCCCGGTGGGGAGAGCTCCCCTGGCCTCGGGGTCCTGAAGTTGCCCAGCTTGATCATATGTCCATCCCTGGATGGTCACAGTGCCTGGGGGGTGCCCTCTGATTGGCCCGCCCTACTGTCAGGCTGGGGTGGCTGGGGAGGCAGGTCCACCCAGAGCCGCGTGGACTGGGAACAGAGAAGTGGCCTCTCCCAAAGAAGGGGACTAGCCTCCAGGAGGTGGACACATGGAATTACCACGACAAGGGAGCCACGGCCCAAGCCTGTCACCAATTCCAGCCCTGCTGATGGTGGCTGTCCTCTCTTGACATCGTTGGCCACAGGTGGACTTCAGAGGTGGCAGCAGGGACATGCTGGGGGTACCAGCCTCGGGGGAAGGGATGTTCTCTTGAGGGAGGGAAGTGTTCATTCTCCCCTCACACAAGCACAGGGCCCAGGCCAGCCTCTGGCTCGGGGTTTCCACCAGTAGCCCAGGTCGGGGGCTTAGCAGAAGCTCATCAAATGCCAGCACCGCGCTGAGCCCATTAAAGCCGACATCTCGTCTAATCCTCACCAAAGCCCCATGAGCACCCATTTCACAGACGAAGAAACTGAGGCTCAGAAGACAAGCATCTCGGCCAGCAAGCAGCTGAGCTCCGGCTCCAACCCGGGTCTGCCCAACCCCAGCGCCTGCGTTCCGGGGCTCCACCACCCACCCCTCTGTATTTCCTTCTTGAATTGTCACCGATATACTGTTACAGCAGGGCTGCTTTAGTTGTAAAACAAGGTGGTGTCAGGTCAAGGGCCACGTCCGAGGCCTCAGCTCTCAGCCCAGGGAAGAGGCTGCGGTGAGCGAGTGAGCGAGTCACCGGACACAGTGACAAGGTGGTAGCATCTTTGCTTCTGAGGTGCCTGGAGGGCTGCAGGCCCCTCCCCACCTCCATGGCCCAACTTCTCCCTTAAAACCCACCTCAGACCTGGCCAGTTTGTCTCAGTGGTTAGAGCATCAGCCCATGGACTGAAGGGTCCCAGGTTCAGTGCTGGCCAAGGGCAAGCATCTCGGTTGCAGGCTCAATCCCTGGCCCTGGTTGGGGCTCATGTGCCTCTCTCACATCGATGTTTCTCTCTCCCTCCCTCTCTCTCTCCTCCCCCTGCCACTGTCTTTAAAAAGCTCTCTGAAAGGCAATGGAAAAAATATCAAGTGAAGATAAAAAACAGAAACAAAAACAGCTCAAAGGACACTTCCTCTGAGAAGCCTTCTCTGCCCTGCCTGCCACCATCCAGGATGCCTCCTCTGTGTCCCTTGTCCCTGGGCTTCCCTCATCAGAGCCCCAACCAAAGTCCGTCTGTGTCTGGCTGGGGACAAGAAGTCCACAGGGAGGGGGACTCCCTGGTGCCCAGTGCGGATCATGACGCAGAGCTCAAACCCAGAGCAGGTGCTTAGCAAACGCCCCGCAAACGAATGAATGAGTGAACGAACGCGTGGAGTCACGAGGGAGTGGCCCTGCAGACAGCCCCAGGGAGCTAGGGCAACAGGAGCCGGGCCAAGGCTGGAGAAGGGAAGGGTCCAGTTCCCTGCAGCTCCCGATGGCCAGAGTCCAAGGTCAGGCGACTCTCGACCCGGCTGACACCGAGGCCTTTGGAAGCCACGTGGCAACAGCAAACTGCCACGCTGGCTCAGCCTGTTTATCTAACCCAGTGCCCGGGATACTGCCTGGCATGGGGGGAGAGGGCAGTGACGCCCTGGCTCGCCCACGGGCAGCCCAGCCTGTGGATTCTCCCACAAAGGGTCAGACACTAGCCTGGCTGCCCCCTGCGTCCTCAGCGTGCCTCTGTCCACGGGGCACTGCCGGGCAGAGGGGTGGCTCTGGGCTCAGGCACCACCTGAGCAGGCGGGCTGGCAGGTGGGGACAGAGCTGCCCCAGGCCTCTCATCTCCCCCTGGGCATCCCTCAGCCTCACTCCCTCTAACTCCTCCGCTCGGTGGCACCCAGGGCGCCCTGTTCTCTTTCCAGAACACGCCTTCCCTTCTGCCCACGAGGAACGCAGCCAGCCTGGAGGGGAGACACCGTGTCCTCGGGCCTGCCCCACCCCTCCCCACACCCCCTAAGCCTCTGTTTCCCTTTCTGGATTTCCTGGCTGTACAGAGGTGAATCTGAAAGGTTCCTTGAGGCCAGATGAGGCCAAGGTTTTGAGCTCAGTCCTCGTGGGGCCCTCAGGGCTGCGTGGGAACTCCTGGGAAGCAGCAGTTTCTGTGTCCTGAGGTGGGCCGGGGCAGCCTGAGGCCAGTGCCTTCCTACCACCCTTCCAGGGCTCCCCTGGCATGGGGGCCGTGGCTGCTGCAGGGCGAAGAGAGGGGCTGCTGTCCCACCCTGGCGCGCCTGGCCCTCAGCCCTCCCTGTCCCATCCCAGACCTCAGGCTGCGCTCCGGGCCCAGCATGGAGCAGGCAGCTCTCCCTGCCTCAGGGCCTTGCTCTGTGGGGCAGGGTGACGTGGCCCCCCCACAGGCCCCTTCGCCCCGCACGGGCTCCCACCCCTCCACTGCCCTCCTCACTGGCGGGGAGGAAGAGAGGCCGGCCCAGGGGCTCCCGGGCTGGAGGGGCCCGAGGCTTTGACTTTCTGGAGTGACCTGAACCCTGCCCAGCTGACCCATGAGGAGGAGGCTGAGAGCTGGAGGGCTTTTCCTCCAGGAAGGAAGCCCCTTCCTCACCAGCCTGAGGCTTGCCCAGGCCTCCCTGTGCCGACACCTATCAGGCCCCAAGGTGCCCAGGGCTGAGCAGAGAGAAGACTGGGGTGAGCGTCCCAGAGGATTTGGGAGGTGACATCTGCATGGAGGCCTGAAGGGTGAGGAGGAGACGCTGGGTCAGGAGTAAGACAGAGAGACTGGTGAGCAAAGACCCCCTAACCCAAGTGAGCTTGGGGGTTGCTGACCAGCCCCACCCCCATACTTTAAGCCACAGACCACCAGGTCCCCCAGGGGTCCCCAAACCCCCGGCCCAGCCCAGTGTGATGGAGCCCTGTGGGCTGTGTGACTGTCCCACTCCAGGCCTGAGGCTCCGCCCTCGATGTTCCCAAAGGCCCCAGAGACTCTGGGCCTCAGGTCACTGTCCAGGGCAGACAGGCCGTGGGGCCCACTCAGCGCCCCGCCGCAGCCCCAGGAACTGGAGGGAGTTGAACATTAACTCCTTTGATGAGTGGCCCTGACTAAACAAACACCTCTTATCACGTCAACAGCAGCTGCCAGGAACTGGCTCAGGCACGGGCATCCCTGCCTGGGCACTGCCGGGCACTGCCGGGCACTGCCGGGCACTGCCTGCCACTGCCTGCATGGGGCAGCTGCCAGGACTGCCCCGGTTCAAGTCCCGCCCACCTGTCTCCTGCCGGCTGAGTGACCACAGGCAAGGGACTGTCCCCCTGGCAGGGGTCGGTTCCCCTCTGCACAGTGAGCGTCCCGGCCCTGCTCCCCCGCCTCCTGGGCTGGCTGGGTCACAGTTGGGGAAGGGGGCCGCAGGAGCCCGGGGAGGCCCGGCTGGTGCGGAAAGACCAGAGGCCCTGCTTGAACCTGTGTCAGCAGCATGGGCCATCCCCAGGCAGCCTGGGTGGGGGGACCAGGCCAGATGAAGCCCTTTCCGGGTCAGCGCTGGCCCGCTTGGAGGGAGGCAAGGCTCGGTCCTTCACTCACCCTCTTACCCCAAGAGGAAAACTGTCATTTGACTGGCAAGAGGAGAAAGTAAATGTTGATCCATTTGGTTTAGAGGAGGGTGAGCCTGGGCAGGGCCCCCCACCCCACCCTGCAGGCTGGGAGAGAGGTGAGCCGCTGGCTTGTTCCCAGTCACTTCCCATCAGGTCGGACTGGCCATCCCCAGTAAGGCTGCCCTGGGGGTTGAACACCCCTTAATAGCGGGAAGGGAAGTGTCACTGCTCTCGCAGGTGTGCTTCCTTCCGAAAGGCAAACCAACTCTGTAAACACAACCCTTCCAAAACCTGGCCCAGACAGACCTGACCTGGACCACAGCCCCAGCCATGTTTTAGGGGGTAACCCAAGAAACGCCCTCCTTGGAGCTTGAATTATATCTGTATAGGTCACTGTTAAAATAGCAGCATCAGGCAGCGGGCCAGGCTGGAGGAAACCTTGAACTTTTGCTGTCTTGAGGCATCCTTGGCGTTTGACTCACATTTTCAGATAAAGCCAAGTCCACTGCCCATGGCAGCCTGGCAAATACATGTGGCACCTGACCCACTTTTCAAGCTCCGTGTCCTGGGCTAATGGGGGTGGGGCACCCCCACTTTATCTGCACAGTAACCTTTGTACAAAGTTCTCCTCGTCCCATGACTGCAAGGAAATGAGGGTGAAAAGCAGTGATTGCTATTTGTCACCCAAGAGAATTTACCTGGTGAAGGTGAGGCCTCGTGACTCGTGAGTCACCCTGGACTCTGTGACCCTTCAGGGCAGGGCCTTGGTGCCAGATCTGAGATGGATGAGGGTTGACATTGGTCTCTGCCACTCACCCCAAGCTGCGTGGCCTCAGGCAGGCTGACTCACTCATTCATTCATTGAGTTACGGAAACTCTTACCTCCCGTTTTACTGCTTTTACTCACCTCCCCCGAGTGGCTCCACAAGGTATCCCCACCACCCAAGTAGGGGGGCTCCGTGTGTTTGGGCCACAGGCTCAGTCTGTCTGCTTGCAGGCGCGGTCACTTGGTTCCTAGGACTCAGGCGATGACTCACCATCCGTCTGCTGTCACCGTGGGTCCAACGTCTCGGCCTCTCCGAAGCAGGACGCCGTCCCCACACCTTTCCAGGACCTCTTCATCACTGAAAACGCAGCTCTTACAAACTTCCGAGCACCCCCCCTCTGACCTCCACCTCCTGCCCTCCCCACGTGCTTGTCTGCCTGCTCCTCGGCTGTCCGCTGACCACAGGAGTGCCCCCAGGCCCGGAGCGCCTCGGTTTTCCCTGGCCCACTCACGTTGCACACCCTTCCTTTCCCTAACTGTGTGCTCTCCAGGGCTCTTCACCGCCCACCCGAACCCCGTATCTTCCAGCCCTGTGCTCTGCTGGGGCCGCCCCTGGGCAAGAGCCTCACCCTGTGCCGAGACATGCTCCCATTGGCCGTGGCCAGTGGGTGCCTAGACACCAACGGGCACCTCGGTGACCAGTAAAGGTGTCTTTTTCAAAAAATGCTTTTGATTTTTAGAAACATCATTGATCAGCTGCCTCCTGCGCGCCCCCTACTGGGAATTCAGGTGCAGCCAGGGCACGTGCCCCGACTGGGAATTGAACGCTGACCACTCGGTTCGTGGGTCGATGCTCAACCACCGAGCCATGCGGGCCGGGCCGGTAAAGATTTCTGCAATGAATTGCACCGTTTCTAGTCAGCTTGCTTTCCCTTCCTCAATCTCAAATCTTCGTGCTGAAGCTTCGGGGCCCCTGCTCTCCTCCTCTCCATGACCTGGCCTCCGACTCTGCAGAACAGACCCCTCCTGCTGGGACGGCCTCCCCGCCACCATCTGCCACCTCTCCTCCTCTTGTTAACAAGGAAGCGGGACCTAGATTCCTACGACCATCCCTCCTGCATGGCCAATGGGGCCCCTTCCCAGGCTCCAGCTCCCCTGCCCCCTGCTGCTCTGGATGTCCCCAGCTCAGGTCTCAGACTGGGAAACCCGCCTGCGGATTCCCTGCCAGCTGCCCTGTGCCCGAGCAGACCCAGCACACTCTCCTCCTGAGCAGAGCACGCTCAACGGGGTGGGTCACCCCCCAGACAGAAGTCACTGTCTGCTGCAACTGCCCTGACTGGGGATCGCACCCCGACCTCCTGGTTCTTAGGTCGACGCTCAACCGCTGAGCCACGCCGGCTGGGCTACTCCCTTTACTTTTAAACCCAGTGGCCAAAAGGTCTCCTAAACCAGAAGCAAATGTACACCAGGGATCCGAGAACTCAGCACTCACAGACTGAAAAAGCTTCAGAAATGCTGATTTTTACAAATCCTACTTGAAATGAAAACCTTGTGGGAGAAAACCACTTCGAACTTGTCCTCTCGGATACACTGAACACCGGCCAAATTGTTTTAATTTCCGAATTTATTAAAATGATTAACCTCAATACTGCAAGTGCATGTACAAAATATTTGTAAAAAATGTTTTTAATGAAACGTTAAAGAACTTACCTCAAATGCTGAAAAAGTCCTTTTTTTGTTTTCATTCTTTCAGTACAAGGAATACATTGTATCTCAAAAGTATTACAACTCGGCAAAACAATTTAAAACAGTAGTTTGAAAAATGATTGAAAATTGAATACTTTACATATATTTCTATGATCATTTCCTAATTCTTACGACGTGACAAGTCTTTACCAATCATTGCATAAGCTCAGCTGAGAGTTTTAGTGAATGGAAGTTTTACTGACCTCTTCCCGGGGGTCGCCGGCGAGCGTGCGGGTCTCGCCATCCCGCACGGCGGAGCCCGACAGCTCGGAGGCCCCCAACCTCGACGGTGGGAGCAGGCGCCCGCGAGCTCCGACTCCAGGCAGTGACTGCTACCGGGTGTCACTGCTCAGACCGGGGGAGGGTCGGCCTCCAAGGACCAGGCCACAACAGTTAAAACTAACATCATAAATAAGTTACTAGAACGAAGCTTAAAAATGGAGAAAAGTGGGAAACAGGGTATTTTATTACTTTTTCCATAAGACTGAGATTCCCGCAATGGCCACTGCGGGTGCTCCAAGGAACAGCTCACGGTGTGGTCTCTGACCGTCCGCAAGACGCTCCACACTAAGGTGGGGCGAGAGGCGAGCCCCTGCCCTCCGGTCCCTTCCAGACACACGGTCTACGCCTGACCCTCCTCAGTGGCGCGGGTCTCCTGTCCACAGGGGCCCCGGGAGGGCGGGCGTGGGCTGTAAAGTGCTCCGGGTGCCTGGGGACAGACGGCTCCGCGGGGCTGCCCTGCCGGGGGAGGTGGGGACCCTAGACCCGCCGGGCGCCGCAATACCTGAGGGGTCAGACCGCCGTGACACCCGGGGCGGGAGGGGACACGGCAGCAGACGCGACGCCTTGAGGAACGGAAGGAGAAAAGCCTCTGCACTCAGGAAACGTTGATGAATATTATTAATTTCTGCCTGGAGCCCACTGGCAATAGTGTTAAGGAACTTAGCTTCCCGGAGCCCGGGAGCCGGTGGGAATCGGTTAGAACAGCAGGCACAGAGGTTTTCTCCTCGCGGCTTCTCAGGACCCGCCGGTTCCTTCTGACAGTTTAAAGCCGGGGCCGCCTTTCTAGACACCCCACGGGCCCCGACTCGGTGCTACCGAGGAGAACCGCGCACCAGAGAGCACGCGGGCGGCCGGCGCAGACGCCCGCGGGGGCCACACCCGACTCTTGTCCGATGATTCGTAAAGCAATCCAGAAACATGAAGGACTGGTGCTGAACATAAAGTAGTAAAGTTATGTTCATTAAGTTACTTAAAATTAATTTATCTTCTCAAAGTGCTTCAAAAACAAATTAAATCTGACTCTTCTTTTTGCTTAACTGATAATATAGTCAAAACTCTCTGATATTTTCATACATAAACTAACATAAGCCAAGAACTCCCACTGATGCAGTGCTTAAAACTATGTATTTATAACTTCCTATTTTATTGGCATGGATATTTCTAAACTTAAAAACCTTCCTGGTAAGTTCTTTTAATTTCTTATGACAAAAATTTCTCACAACACACAAATATTTACAACATATACACTGTTTTCAGTTCTTTACAATGAATTTCAAAGACAAACATTTTTATAGGTTACCACAGAACAAAAGCTGTGACTCATGTTTTTATTTCATAAACTATTATAAGTTAAAGTGAATAGAGTTTTAATATTCCTTGTAGCATTTTACAAGTGCAACAGAAAACTTGAAGACCCAAATTAAGACAGCGGTAGTTCATCAGGTAAACGCTGCTCGTTGTCGTCACACTGTTCACAGCAAATTTTTGAAAAAATAAGCACCAATCATTCTTGCAAAGAACAGTTTTATCTAAAAGTATTGAAAAGTGTTAAATACAAGGTCTTTAATTTACATGACAAGCAATAAATACGCTGCATCGAAGCTCCTCCTGCCCGCGGCGGCCGCGTGCGCAAGGGGCC